ATAGTTTTCCAAATAATATATCTTTTGATTAATTATATTATACAACAATTACAATCTGGAAATTATATAATTTTTTTATTGATATTATATAATTATGCCTGGATGACATGTATGAGTTTCTATCGCAGATGCAACAGAGATCTGGATTTACTCCGCCACCACAAATGGGTAATGCTGGACCTGGCCCAGGTGGAATAATGAGACCAAACCAACCTTATTCAACTTTGCGTCAAGGCCCAATGCCCACGCCACCCGTTGGAAAAAGAAGCACAGATCAACGTATTCCTATGTCCCAGCAAAAACCGTAAGTATAATCTGGAGAAATTTAAACTTAAGACAAACGCTTTATATTTATCTTATATGTATATTGTGTGTTTCTTTGTTAATTAGATATTATATTTTAATAATTGACTACTTTCTGTTTTTTATTCATTCTTACTCTTGCATATTTATCCTTTTATTTTTTCGTAAACTTGAATATAACTTGTACATGTATTATTATCTACTTATAACTTGATATTTCTAATCTACTTTCTGTTTATATGTGAAACCAAATTTTGTTAGGGATTTAGCCAATGCAACTCACGGCTTACAGAATTATTTATAATTTCTGTGTCTATGGTTTTCGAATAAACTCATTTAGGTATTTTTGGAACAGTGATTTTTCACATTCCACATCAAAGAAAAAGAAGAAATTGGCAGACAAAATATTGCCTCAAAAAGTGCGGGATTTGGTACCAGAGTCGCAAGCTTATATGGACTTACTGGCATTCGAAAGAAAGTTGGATGCAACTATAATGCGAAAACGTCTCGATATTCAGGAAGCTTTGAAACGTCCAATGAAGCAGAAGCGAAAATTACGTATTTTTATCTCAAACACATTTTATCCGGCTAAAGAGGCAGGTGAAGGAGAGGAAGGATCTGTAGCGTCTTGGGAACTTAGAGTAGAAGGACGCCTTTTAGATGATACTAAAAATGATCCCAATAAGGTATAATAGTAGAACGGAATAAGAAATATAGTTACGTTACTAATAAACATAAATACGTGTGTATAGTCTAATTGTATTGTAAGTATATATTTCATATGTATAAATACGTATATTCAACAATAACTATATTAATTTCGCAGGTAAAACGAAAGTTCTCGTCTTTCTTCAAAAGTTTGGTAATAGAATTGGACAAAGATCTCTATGGTCCTGATAATCATTTGGTCGAATGGCATCGTACGTTGACTACTCAGGAAACCGATGGATTTCAAGTTAAAAGACCAGGTGACAAGAACGTTCGCTGTACAATCCTTCTTCTTCTTGATTATCAACCACTACAGGTAATGCTTTTACACAAATTAATCGATAATTGTTACACAAGTTAAGTATTTTATCACAATTGATTTAGTCTATTTGTATTAATCTTAAATTTAATTTCTGTTAATTACATTCCAGTTTAAATTGGACCCAAGATTAGCGCGATTATTAGGCGTACATACGCAAACGCGACCCGTCATCATATCCGCGCTTTGGCAATATATAAAAACGCACAAGCTCCAAGACAGTCACGAGAGAGAATTTATTAACTGTGATAAATACTTGGAACAAATATTTGCCTGTCCGCGAATGAAATTCGCTGAGATACCACAACGACTGAATCCATTATTGCATCCACCTGATCCCATTGTGATAAATCATGTTATAAGTGTAGAAGGTGAGGTGCAATTTTTATCTTGAATAAATATTGTTTTACAAAAACTTTATAAGTGAAATATATATTGCATTGCAATTACTTTATAACTCATTATGAATATCTGATATAAAAATGTATATTATTCAGGAACGGAAACAAAACAAACCGCGTGTTACGACATCGATGTAGAAGTAGACGATACATTGAAGACGCAAATGAATAATTTCTTGCTATCAACTGCGAGCCAACAGGAAATCCAGAGTCTGGATAATAAGATTCATGAAACTGTCGAGACAATTAATCAATTGAAGACCAATCGTGAGTTCTTCCTGAGTTTCGCTAAAGATCCGCAACAGTTTATCAATAAGTGGATCATCTCTCAGACTAGAGATTTGAAGACCATGACCGACGTTGTCGGGAATCCGGAAGAAGAACGGAGAGCTGAATTTTATTATCAGCCTTGGGCACAGGAAGCCGTGTGTCGTTACTTTTATACAAAAGTGCAACAAAAACGAGCAGAATTGGAGCAAGCATTGGGTATCAGGAACTCGTAAAACTATTATTAAAAATTCTATATTTGACCATTTTATCATAAAGTTATGTAAGATATTCGTAAATGTTCGCTTTTATAATTATTACATGTAACGCTATTGTGGTTTATCTTTCAAAACATATTTGTAACATTAATGTAGATTATGCGAAAAGATTGCATTTATTATGCAAAAAAAATTTTACGCCTATGTGAAAATAAAAATGTAACAAGACATTGCTGTTTCTACATTTGTAGTTACGTAACAATCAAATTTCAAAATTCAAATATCGGACATAAACTATATAAACTGAAGAAAGGATCAATGGAAAAATGCATAGTTTTTCTTTGAAATATCTTGTACAATATATGTTCTTTTAACGCATGATCTTTTACTATAATATTAATGTATTATATGATTACAAAAATTGATTTTTTTGCATTTGTAGAGTATGTAAAATAATCACATTAGAAATTCAATTTTTATGATAATTTATTTCTTCTTACTGCAACGCGATATCTCTTGTATAAATAAGGATAATTACATGTCATTTACCATGCCGTTGTACACATTTGTTATACTTCTCCAACAGACACATGAAATTTTTCACTGGGATATTAATGTACATCGGCAGCATTCTGGGAAAAAATTAAATTGTTAGTATAAAAAAATAAGATTTTTTTGCAAAATAATTGACAGATATTTAAAAATTTCTTATGAACTTACAAAAATTCTGTCGTTCTTGTGTGCCATGGTAGTACACCATGCGTGGAACAATAGTAATCATATATTAAAGCAAGATCGGGATCAGGCATCCCTTTTATTTGTAATTCTTCGGTGATTAGTTCAATCGTAATTTTTTCCCGATCAAGATTCCCCGAAGACACAATTTTTGCTAATGACTGCGCCAATGTTGCTATTTTTCCTTTACTATCTATATCCGATAGTAATGATACATTTATTTTTGACTTACTTTCTGTAATTAAAACATGCAGTCGCATAATCAGAAATACTTCTCAGAGTTGGGAACGTTACCTTAAAAAAAATAATCCGCATTATCCGTTCGTTACTTTTCCGTTAGTTAAAAGTAATGTGAAAAATATCGTTACCGTTACTTAGAAAAGTAACGAATCGTTATTTTTCGGGAAATTGTTGAGTTTAGTCTGCGAAATTGATAAAATTAGATTCGTTCAATACACTTCGTGTTTTTGCACAAAATAACCGAATCTGTTGTCGTCAGAAACAATCGTCGCTCTGTCTCGCGATCCGAGATATTAATCGTTAAATTTGACCATTATTCAAGAACTATTACCTATTCTAATACCTATTCTATTTATTAGAAATTAATGTTGTAGGACATAATGTACTAATTATTTAACAAAATTCTATAATTTATTAAAATTAAATCTTTTTTAAAAATATAAATTTAGCCAAATAATCTATTAATGTGATTCTTTTGTATTATATCTTGGGATATTTGAATGAAATTTATGCCCAAATTCTTGAACAACACATCATGGTCATGTTGCTTTTCATCAGTGTGACAGGTTTCCTAATCTGAATAATCAACTTTAACGATTAATATCTCGGTTTGCGGAACAGAGCGACGTTTGTTTCTGCCAGATTTGGTCATTTTGTACAAAAACGTTAAATGAGCTTAAATTTTAGTCAATATCGCACGTGAGGGAGTTAAACTCGATCAACGAATTTAAATATCAAATTTAAATTAAACATTGCTTTTAAACATTAATATTATTAATAAGAATTTATTTTAAGATTCACTTCTAGTACTAAAAATCCATAGTAATATCCTGTAATATGAATTATAGATTTTCAATACTGATAGTAACTATCGGAATGCAGTCTAAGATATAAAATATAAAATAAAAATTTGAATATTACGATTCGCTAACTTAATAATAAAAGAAATAAAAAGGCTCGAGGGAATATGCGCTGTTCAAGATGCGCTAGTTCAAGAAAAATTTCTCAATATATAAATTAAATTTATTAAAGAGACCGCAGAACAAACAAAAATCGTTAGGCTATAATAATCTTGTACATTTCAGTTTTCTAACCTTCAGCGATAATAGATGCGAAAATTATATACTTAATTGCTCGTTGTCTATGCATACAAAATTGAAAGATGCAATCTATTTTTTGCAGTCTCCAGGGAAGTCAAGTTAAGCTCTCTATCGAGAAAATATTTTCCCATGTTAGTTACAAAGCTGGATGGAAAATCTGTGCCTTTAAAAACGAAATATTTAAGCATGGGAAAATGAATGTACAAATAACTCACTCGTAATGGAAACTGCAAGCACATAATGTAAACTATTAATCCAAAGTCTCGAAGTAAGAATGTCAACAATAAAGATTTTTTAATCAATTATAAAATAATAAATAAAATGTACAGAATAACGTGTCGACAAATACATCGTCAAACAGTAAAATGAACTAATTCGTGAGAGCTCGCCATTTAAAAGTTAAGTTCGATGTCAGAAATAAGAACAAACTAAGAGTTAAAATAATTAAAATATACTTGGTTTAGCAGTTTTGTGTCTGTTTTCAAATTAATGTTGTTATTCTATTGTTTTATGTTAATTATCTCTGATATCAATCTCTTATTGTAATTAATGTAATCGCTCATTATCTCATTATAATATTTTAACGTCTTCCCAACAGAAATCACGACTATGTTGCATCCTATGATCTGTAATTATCGAATGTATTGCGCTTCTATTAATATGAGACCTGTGTTCAGATATTCTTGTAGATACAATTGTTTGCCCGACATCAGTCAGAGAATTTATTTTGGCTTTTCTGGAGACTGCAAAAAATAGATTTGCATTTTATAATTTTGTATAGACAACGAGCAATTAAGTATATAATTTTTACATTTATTTATTATCGCTAAAGAAGATTAGAAAACTAATCGAAACGTACGAGATTATTATAGTCCAACGATTTTTATTTGTTCTGCGATCTCTTCAATAAATTTAATTTGTATATTGAGAGATTTTTCTTGAACAACTAGCACATTTTGAATAGCGCCTATTCCCTCGAGCTTTTATTTCTTTTATTATTAAAATATATTATAAAATATTTTTTAAGAAATAAAAATGAGAAATAAACATTTTATAATTACATTTATTGCATACAATAACTTAAATTATAAATACATATGTGCATATTTGCACAAGCATTTAAAAAATTTAAGTATTTCGTTCATTTGTTATAACAATGACACAACTTGGGTAACTAAAAATACACTTCTGAGGGTACTATAAAGAAAAACATCTTTCAGCACTAGCAATATCCAAATATCCAATAAATCTAAAGTAAAAATAACGGCTGAATTGATACCGTTGTTATAAAAATATAACGACGTTACTGTTACCGTTAGGCAAAAAAAAAAAGTAACGATTGTTACCGGAAAAAAATAATGGCATTATCACGCTTGGATTGGTCCATTACTGTTCCGTATGCTATAATCGCTACATAAACGCTCTAGCTAATAATGGTGAAGTCCTATGAGACATATTAACATTATTAACCCATCGCTTGTCGCAATGCTTCGCGCCAATCAGAAGCATCAATAATCACTACTGATGCTACTATTTGAAAGTTTGCAACTTATCGTAGAATGCTCTTAAGATTATTGAAGTATGTGTGTGGAAAAACAGAAAATAGTATACTCTACCAATTACTCCATTTTGTGCCTTTGCATGTGGATTCCAAGTAATACACTCTATTAGATCAGGTCGTTTTCTCGCGATTTCTTCTTTAAGAATAAATTCATTTTTCTTCAAGAAACCTAAAAAACAATATAAATCGGGGAAACTGAAATTCGCATAATTGTTTGTTATTGTTCTTAAATTGAAAGATGTCATTTCTCATAAATTATAATACATTGTGCGTTTTTTTTTGTATGATGTTAATAATTTATTTATATATAGCAGGGTCTCCCGAATATCTAGATATACAGTCGAATATCTCAAAAACACATACAATTAAAAAAAAAAAGATTTAGACAAAATTTATAAAGCTTAAAAAGACTCATTGGATAATATCCATCTGATCTTGGATGAAGTTGTTCAAAGTAAAATTAAGATCAAATTGAGTTTTTGAAATGGAAATCCTCATTTTTCCTCGCATATTTTATAGCTTATCAAGAGTTTTATATTTCATATAAAATTTTATTAAATTTTATTTAAAATTTATAATCCATTCTTAAAAGAACGTGTGTTCATATTATGCACAATTGCAATAAGATATTGCATTGGATAACCAAAAGTAGTATTTAGTCCAATCTCTCTTATATTCAAGATCATCTTTAGTCTGATCATAAATAACCTAAATACAAGAGTAATCATTATAAGTAATAATAATAATAATAATTTTTACATCCTAAAAACAAGAAAATGAAGCTCAGTATAATAAGCTCATAATAATAATTTTCTTTACTGTGATCAGAAATCTATATTCGTTTTTTAATTTTCCTTATGCATTTCTAGAAAGTATTGAGTAAATAGTTATTATTAAATTGTAGAATAATAAATAAAGTATACAATAATGTAATGAAATCTCTGATAAAAAACATTCTTTATATATTTATTTTTATAAAAGTTATAAATAACCAAATTGGAATTATATTCAATTAATAACTGTTTTATGATTAATGTGTCGTTTTCATAATGGTGACCTAATTTACATCGTGCACAAAAGTTGCAACATTGCATGTTGCAGCAATATTGCAGAGATTTTGCTGTAAATTCTGTGCTATATGGGAATTTTCTATCAAATTATCTTAATTTCAGTAAAATACGCGTAAACATATACATGATATGTGTATTTAATTAATCATTTTGATGCATATTGTATGAATTTAGTAAATTATTCTGCAAATACATTACTGAAATTAAGATAATTTAATAGAAAGTTACTTGTTAATACGCATATCAAAAGATTGTTTGATGTAAAAGGAATGAGTTAGGACCTTAGCTGACTAGAAAGCTGACTTATAATAATTTATTTCTACAATAAATAATTATCTAAGCTTTAAGTCTTAAGCCGTAAGAAATTGACCAATCACAGTTAAATATAAGAATAATTGACTATGATTGGCCGATTTCTTATGGCTTAAGACTTAAAGATTAGGTAATGACTTATTGTAGAAATCTCATTATCTTAAGACAGTGGCCCTAGTTTCCACCGAGGGTTTAATCCGGATCAGAATGTAAAAACCAACCAAATACAGTCGAGCATTCCTCTGTCCTTCGACTGTAACAGGGGAATACTCGATTGTAATTGGTTGGTTTTAATCTGGATGTTGATCCATTTTCTGTTCATTTTTATGCTCTTTTTAACCTCCTCCAGTGCCTGTGTAAATATTTTCTCTGAAGCATAAAAATGAACAGGAAATGGATCAACAACATCCGCTAAGCAGATGACGCAGTATTGATAACGCGACTTCCAATAACTTCTTAACATCGTGGGAAGTCACAGCAAAAACATGGATTTAAACATAAACCAACAAAATAAAATTCATGATTATCAATCGTGAATTGGACGCATACAAGAATGCTACACTACGTTCGAAAACTCATCAGTAGAACGAGTAGCCAAATTTAAATATCTTGAAATGTGGCTATGTGAGAACTAGTCATCCAATTTAGAAATAAAATATCGAATAAAAAAAACCGCTCGAGAGGCTTTTATAAGACTCAGAAGAGTGCTTACCAATATGGACTTCGATATCGATCTTAGAATGAGATTCATTAAATGCTACGTCAGTACTACTACTGTATGAAATGGAGGGCTGGACATTAAAAGTACCTACAATGAATAGAATAGAGGTTTTTGAAATGTGGCTCTTACGTAGAATCCTGAAGATAAAGTGGACAGAAAGAATATCCAACAACGAAGTATTGAAACGTTTAAACAAAGATAGAGAGATATTGACCACAATAAAGAGAAGAAAGGCTGCATATCTGGGGCATATCATGTGTAACACAATATAGGTACCAGCTATTGCAATTGATTATTGAGAGGAAGATTAAGGGTAGAAGAGAGATAGGACGAAAGAAGTTGTCGTGGCTTCAGAATATAAGACACTGGACCAGATTAATCACCATGGAAGAGCTGATACACACGGTAAGAGAAGAGGATGAAAAATGTGGTCGCGAACATCCATTAGTGAATATGCATAAGAAGAAGAAGTTGATTAAGTCTATATATGTATCTAAAAATATAATTTTGACTAATATTGGAGATGAAAGTAAATCACTGGAGAGTTCTCCTATACACACACACACGTGTATATATATAACATATATATATATATATATA